AATGCTCAACCGCTGAGCCACGCCTGGCCGAGCTCCTATACATTTTAGATGCTTTTCCATAATTACCTTCATTTTCCTGTGAAGGCTCCTATGTACATGTAAAAATAGTAAATAAAATGTCATACTTTTCTCCTGTTAATCTGTCTTGTACCAACCTAATACTCGTGCCCAGTTGGAGACTGTAAGAGTGTAGAGGAAAAGTTCTGCCTCCCCTAAATAGGCTTGCTAAATACTTGTTGGATGAAAAACAACATCCTTTCTCCCCGGTACCCACTCTTTCAGCCAGTTCCTAGGACTGTTAAAACATAAAAAGACTATAAACAGGGAAGGAGATTATACAGGGAGCCCCATGTGGAAATGTGGGAATATGGATTCCAGTGCAGGGGTTCTGGCCCTAGCTCTGCTTTGCCTCTGTTGCCCTTGAGATCATGACTCTTCCCTTGCTCTGTCAGAGCAAAAGAAATTAGATCTCAGTCATTTGATGGGAGGTGCAAGAAAACAATTACTTAGTTATGAACCATCATTTCAGAAGTCCTCCACTGTGGAAACTCCATGAGAGGTTACATTACAGTATTTTCCTTTGAGTGTAGGACAAGGATGTGGCCTGCTAGCTACAGTTTCTCTACAAGTCTTGAGATGCATAACATGTCTAGTCTTTTGAGGAGTGTCTTGTGTAGCACTGGAAGCCAAAGCCATGAACAAAGGAGAGGCTAGAGTACGTTCTCATGGGATGCTGCCAACTTCTTATACCATCGCTTGCTGGGTTTACTCTGCCACAGCCCCACTGCCCAGGGGCTCCCTCCCAGGATGGCCGCCTGCAGAAAGGCTGCCCATTGACATGCAGAAACCAGACAACAGGCTTTACTTTTCAAAGAAAAGAGATCACATTGGAACCTTTGGAATTAAAACTTGAATAATTTTAAAAGGACAGGATAAAATACTATTTTTGTCAATGTTCCCCCCCCCCCCATATTATATACATAATTTTTTTTCAATATGCACAAGATTATACAATAGCCTAGAAAAATACACATTCAAGCAATAAATCATCCCTGTTTCCTCTGGACGGTGGTATTTTAGATTTGTTCTTTTAATTCACCCATGTTTTCTAATTTTACTACAAAGGGATTGATTTTCTTGAGTAATAATAGAAATTTGTTTTTTCAAGGATGGGAGCATTTTCAGTTTATTGTAGTCTTTCATTTACTCCACTAGCACTTGATAGGATAGAAATATTACCTTTATTTAATGAGTTTGCTCATTAGTACCATAGATTAGAAATGTAATGAACTATCTATGTTTCCGATGGGAGTGATTGGAAGGAATGACTTTGGCATAGCTCTGGGAGACGAATTTTTGGTGTTGCTATGGTTATAGGAGCTCTGTATTTCACTTCCAGGTTATAGGTAGACTTTCTCATTTCTTAAAAGGAAGATATTTTCCACTGATTTAAAAACTGATCAAATCTCACCAAACCTATATACTTTTCTTTCTTTATGAGAATGGGAAATGGCATCAGGAAGAAATTACGTGGTATGTTTTTGCCTTTACTTTTATGTCAAGAACTACCAAAATAATTTCGTTTTGGAATCATTTTATCTACTATATGACTCCTTTCTGTTCAAATAATAGCAAATGGAGTTATTCACATAATTGATGCAATTATTTAATAATGAATATACAAGTTTATCAAGATTTACTTACTGAGCTTTTTCTCTTGTGTTTTTAAGAACCAGAGAAGTTTTTCATGGGAAAGGATACATCCAAAAATGTTGGGGGGAGTAGGCGTATGATTTTCTAGCCTCAGTTCCTTTCAGGTGCATTTATCCCTATCACAGACAAGGGACAGGAACTCTAAACTGTCCTCTGGTGCTTCTGAACACAACGGATAAATTTTACCCTAGGCTTGCACAGTCAACACACAGTTAGCCTTGGTATACACAATCAGATGTTTGAGGAAAGGAAGATTAAAAATAGAGTGAAAAGTTTATAATAAAAACTACTGTGCATATTATATTAGTTCACTTCTCAGCTTTGAGTGAAACAGGGTGTGACACAATTTGCAGAATCCTTATCTACTTATTGGTGCCTTGTAACCAGATCTCTTTTATTGTCCTTAAGATTCTGTTCTAAAACCCTAAAGGCATTTGTCTACATTAGAAGGCACAGGTGCCCAGCCAGTGTGGCTCAATGGTTGAGCAGCAACTCATGCCTGGGTTGTGGGCTTAGTCCCCAGTAGGGGGCGTGCAGGAGGCAGCTGATCGATGTTGGTCTCTCATAAATGTTTCTCTATCCCTTTCCCTCTCTCTCTAAAATCAATAATAATAATAATAAAAAAGGCACAGGTGGTTTCCTCACAAGTCACCCTTGTTATTTTTAGAACCTCTTCTGTACCTCCCTGTCTTTTCTAGGTGGCCCAAGGTCCTCTGTATTCCTGATGAGCTGGTGTCAACCAGCCATTCAGAGAGAACATTCTGTCTCCCTGGTTTCAAGTGATTTTCTTGGTATCCCTGAATGTGGGCCAACACGGAACACTGGGTTTCCCACTGCTTGCTCCCTGGGCTCTGTGGTGTCAGTGTGCCTCATCAGTTTTGGAAGCTCGTCACATCTTTTCACCTTAGCCGTGCGTGTGCTGTCAAATCTAACTTCTGCTTTGTTCTGCTGCGCCTTATCAAGGTACTCATCTTACACTGGCAGCGCCTTTGCCTTTCAGAAGCGCTCTGCTCCAGCAGCCTTGCCGCTAACAGTCTCAGGGTTTAATTAACCGAGGCACAGAAACCATTTCCCACTGAAATTCCCAGACAGGGATTTGGTAAAATAAGATCTGCTAGAGTTAGGGTAAAGGTGGAGGAGAAAGACAGATTAGGTATCATTTCATGCTAGTTGGGTATTATTATGTGAGGACAGTCAATGTTTTACTTTCCTATTTTCAGAGTCAAATTCTTAGTGCAGCTCAGGTAGGAATGAGAGCTATAAAAATAAGGGATATTACATAAGTATTCTCAGAAAAATTTTTTTTTCAAATTCTACACACATTTTAAAAAAAGACTGGGGCAAGGATTTATTTGCTTGCTTTTTATATCATACTAGCTCCTTCAACTAAGGTGGTTTTCTCTTGTTCTGAAGTAATACAATTCTCCCTCATGAATTTCTTCCTCTTTCAGGGGTTTGGTCAAAATGTAGAAGGGCCTGCACAGAAAGTTTTTATATAAAGTTTACTGATTATTTGGGAGTGGGAGGGTCCCAGTGAGTAGAGAAAACTATTAATGAAAACTAACAGGCAGGTTAAATTCCTACCATGCAACATTCCAGTGGTTTCACCTCTTATATTTTTCCCTCATGTACTTCATAGTTAGAAAAGATTTTTTTAATTCTCACCCAAGGATGAGAGAAGAGAGGAAGAGAGAGAGAGAGAGAGAGAGAGAGAGAGAGAGAGAGAAACATTGATCAGTTGCCTCCTGTATGTGCCCTGACCAGGGATCGAACCTGCAACATTTTTTTTTTGGTGTACAGGATGATGCTCCAACCAACTGAGCCACCTGGCTGTGGCTAGAAAAGATTTTTTAAAGTGAATTTATTAAATAATAATTCACCTTCCTACTTATACTTATTGACAGTAAGTGACAAGTGAGAATGCCTGACCAACATGTGATAACAATGTTCTGGCAAAGACAAAGAAGTCAATGATGAAACTTTATATAGAGGGTAGTATGGTTTTCATCAGATTTATTTTTTTAAATTTTAGCCATTTAAAAGTCTCTTTGGACTCAAGGGGCCCAAATAAAGAGAACTTGTAAAGAAAGTCAATAGGGGAAGGAAATTATAAGGACTAGAGAATCTGGGTTAAGGGATGCCACGGGACTCCTCTCTTTGGCATCCTCACCAAATTATCTACAAGTTTCTCATATTGGATATTACTTGTCTACAGTAGTCTGTGGTTTTGCTTTCTATCATTTCAGTTACTAGTGGTCTGAAAATATTAAGTGGAAAGTTCTAGAAATAAACAATTCATAAGTTTAAAATTGTGTGTTCTGAGTAGCGTGATGAAATTTTGAGATGTCCAAATCTGACCAGCCAGGGACAAAAGTAATCCCTTTGTCCAGCATATCCACACTGTATACAGCACTTGCCCATTAATTAGTAGCTCTTTCAGTTATCAGATTGACTGTCATGGTATTGCAGTGCTTGTGTTCACGTAACCCTTATTTTACTTACTAATGCCATATTCACTTAACTTATAGTTATAATTGTTCTATTTTATTATCAGGTAGTTAATCTCTTATTGTGCCCAATTTATAAATTATATTTTATCATAGATATGCAACAAACATAGTATATGTAGGATTTGGTACTACCTGTGGTTTCAGGGATACACTGGGGGTCTTAGAATGTATTCCCCTCAGGAGAGGGAGAATACTGTACATTGAAACTTTCTCACTAAAACCGTGTTGCACAACCTACCAAAGTTTTAAGTCCAATATGGTCTGTTATGTTACAATTAATGTTTCTGTGACATCACTGAGTTCATCTGTGATCGGTTAATAGGAGAATGAGCTCAGTGTAAGATGGAGTTGTTTTGGTTCCTTGACATGGGTCTCTGGAATAGCAGAAGTAAAATTTTAACTTTTAGCATGAAGGAAAGTTCTCAGTCAGTGGTCTATTTTTAAAGAAATAAAAGGAGTGCTTGCACCTGGGGTGAAGCATGCTCCCAGTCTTGCATGACTCTGGGCCCCAGCAGGTTGCACTTCCTCCTGTGATCAAAGCTCCTCTTATATCTGCTTTGCTCGGCAAAGGCAAATATTCCCATTTTATTGTTTTTGTGCATTTTGCAACATCCCCTGAGACAGTCTCCCTCACATGTTGAGTTAGTTGCCTGTTTGCCTGGTTGTCCAGATGACCTCTGGAGGCCTCAATTATTGTTTTTGTTAACATTTTGGTTACAAAGATGTATAAGTTTTAAAAGTTTATTATTATTTTTACTGTAAGCTGTTTTTCTTTTTCCTTTCATTAAAATTAAAATATAGTTAATATACAATACTATATTAGTTTCAGGTGTACAACATAGTTATTCAACATTAATATACCTAATAAAGTAAATAAGCTCTGTTCTTTTTAATGAACATTTTTGCAAAATGCATCATTTTTCAGGAACACGTGTCTTGTATTACAGTAGAAATCCTGTACTTTGCACTTAGCAGATGCTTAATAAATGATGGCAGATTATAATTGCCTATATCACAAGAATTTTAAACAGTGATTCCAAGGAATGGTTATGTTGACAATGAACCAAATTGCAAGAGCTTAGCAAGATCATTTGACTTTTCTAGAATATAAAATCTTTAAGTCATTTTAATTTGTCTGATATACTTGTCACTCCTGTTTTAGAGAAACAGAAGCTAACTTTTTATTTTCAAAGATTGATGAAAAATCATCCATTATTTCTTGAAGTTGAATAACAGGAAATTGTACTTGTTTTTCAAACCATTTGGCAATTGTAAGAAGCTGCTGGTCACAAAATGCACGTCCAATAAATTGTAGTCCTATTGGCAACCCTTGGTTGGAGAGGGCCACAGGGACAGTCACTGCTGGCAATCCTGAGTAAAAGAAGAAACCTATTAGTTGATTAACTCTCCATCCAAAGCAGCAAAGATCTCTTCCATTTTCCAATGCTAGTAGGTCCATGACAGGATAAGGTTTAAAAAAATAACAAAAATTATATGATATACATGCTTTTGTACCTTCCTTTGTTCACTTAACAATGCCTTGGTTTTCGAACATTTCAGAACTCGAACAGTCTTCTGGAACGAATTACATTTGAAAACCGAGGTACCACTGTATGTTGAAAATCACTGTTATCGGGAACATCTTCATTCTTTCTTATAGCCGCACATATCCCATTGTGCAGGTTTACTGTAATTTATTCAACCATTCTTCTATGGTTCAGCATTTAGGTTGTATTCAGTACTTAGCTTTTTCACACTATGCCCTAGTGAATTACCTTGTACACGTCTCTTGGTATTCCTGAAAGTTTCTCAAAGAGGATTGCTTCACCAAAGGATAAATAAATATGTAATTAGATAATGCCAAATTGCCCTCCAAAAAAGATTTGAACTCCTATCAGCAAAATGAGTGCTTTTTTCCTACAGTCTTGCTAAGAGAATATACTGTTGAGCTTGTAAATTTTCCCAATTTGTTAAATAAGAAATAGTAGCTCAGGGTAGTTTTCATTCCAGGTTTGGGGCAGAGAAAGTACAGTGGTACCTCGGTTTTAGAACGTGATCCATTCTAGAAGACCATTCAAGTTCTGAAACGTTCCAAAACCAAGGGATCAATAGCCGACAGCTAGGCCTCAGGATCTTGCACTCAGTGGAAGCCACGTGGCACGTTCGACTTGCGAGGCGTGTTCAAAAACCGAAGCATTTACTTCTAGGTTTATGGCATACGTAATCTGAGATGTTAGTCAACGGAGATGTTCGAAAACCAAGGTACCACTTTATAAAATCTTGGGATATCTTGTTATGCCATAAAATAAGAAAGTTTCCAAAAATTAATGGGACAGGTCTGAAGGATACGTGCAATTTGAAGGGGCTCCTGTTGACTAAATCTGGGACAATTTGAGCAGCAAACACAATAATGATAGTAACTGCTTATAATACATTGAATTTTAAAAAAAGGAAAGCTATTTAGAGAAGACTGCTAATTAATATATACAGATGGAATGCTCTAGTAGAAAAGTCAGTATTTTGTAATTCTCTAGGTATCAATTCAGGCAAGGAGCATCAATGGATGCTAAAACTAGGTTCACGTTTATTGGGGAATAGAATATTCACATGGTCTCAAAGTATCACCTCACCAAATGCTTATAACTGATAAAAAGGAAAATGTAACTTTACAAGGAAAACATCTGCAGTTACTTCCTTAACCAAGGGTTCAATTTAGCTTCCAAAAGTGGAGCAAACTAATGTTAACTCTTTCCTGACATGAACAATACATAGTATTTCTGCCAAAAATGTTTAACTCAACCCAATCTCAAGGAAGCAATCTGACATTCCAAATTATGGAGGGGACATCCTACAGGACAAGTGAATTAGACTCTTCAAAAAAGTCAATGTCACTTAAAACAAAAATGTTAAAAGTAGGGGATTTCTTATCAGAAATAAGCAGGCTAGAAGAAAGCAGCACAACATTTTTTAAGTGCTAAAGAAAAGAACTGTCAAAATAGAATCCTATTTATAGCAAAAATAATCTTTAAAAATGAAAGGAAAGAAAGCGAGGAGAATTAGTTGCCATCAGATGTACCCTAAAGGAAAGGCTAAAGGAATTTCTCTAAACAGAAAGGATATGATAAAACAAAGAACCTTGATATATCAGGGAAAAATAAACACAGTAAGCAAAAGCACAGGTAAGTACAATGGACTTTCCACCTCCTTTTGAGTGTTCTACATTATGTTTGATGACTGTAATAAAAATTATGATACAGACTGATGTGGTTCTAAAAACACAAAGAGAACTGGGGGGATTTAAAAAGACATCATAAACGAATGTACATATTAGGGGAAAAACAACTTATAAAAGACATTCTTGATGCAATTGATAATTTAAATTTATTATTTTAGAAAATTTAATTATTTAAATTTAAAATATAAATATTTAAATATGGACTGTATTTGGCAAATTATTGTATTTATGTTAGTCTTCTTAGGTATGATAATGGAATTGTAGTTATATAGGAGAATGTCTTTATTCTTAGAAGACTCACGATAAAGGTGTGTGTAGAAAGAGATAGAGCTAGAGAGAAAGAAAGAGAGGAAGGAGAAAACAAAAGAGGCAAGATGTTAACAAGGGTGAATCTAGGCGAAGGGTATATGAGTATTCATTATACTACTTTTCAACTTTTCTGTAGGTTTGAACATTTTTAAATATAAGTTTAAAAATATGCTATTCAGTGGACTGATTCTGAACATGTGTATGTGTGTGGGGTGAATACTTGTATTCACCCCACACACTTTTCTAATCATTCCAGGACTAGCAATTGCCTTTAGGAAACAATCTAGCTAGAACCTAAGTTGAAGACCAGGGTGCCTACCTAAAAATGTAAAGAAATACAGAACATTCTTGAGAATCCTCACCTGCCATATTTACAGCCTGTGTAAAAATATCACCTTGGGCACTTCGAGTTCTGTTGTCTTCCTTGATGAACTCCACATACGGTACTGCCTCACTCAAGGTGGTGGGAGTTAGCAAGACATCCACTCCAGAGTTAAAAACATTCACAAAATCATTAGCAATGAGTCGTCTCACTTTCTGTGCTTTGACGAAATAATTCTCATAGTTTCTGGGGGGGAAAATAGATATTTTAATTTCAAGGGCTTTTTGTTATTTTTTTGAACAATTCTCATACATAAGGCTTGTTAAAGAATCACTGGATTCTTGGTTTTTATGAGCAGGCACCACAAAGATTCCTAACAACACATAAAAATGAATTTTGTTCAACTGTGATGTCATTTAAAAAGTCTGTCAGTCTGAAATTTAATCAATCAGAATCCACTACTCGATGCAATTCTGCATATATAATCACAAAATATTAACACTTCCAGGGACACCATTAAACCAGAATGTTCATTTTCAGGTGAGGAAAATCAAGTATAGTAATTAAATGAATTTGCAAAGGTTACAGAGATTGGCAGTGGAAGAAGAAGGACTAGCAATGGGTCCCTGGAGGCTCATTCCAATCCTCTTTCTATTATAATGTCTTATTTCATCAATAGTATGAGGATAACTAATGAGTAGGATGCTGAAGTTTTGCAAAATTCTAATATGCCATCAGAATTAGACACTAGAAAACAGGCTCTGGAAACAGATATTGGGGAAAGTATACTGTATTTGCAATTTTGTATTTTATGGATAGGCCCAGCCCAGGATGGAAATGTGCAACTCAAGGAAAGGTGCTTACTTTACTTAAAAGATTAAGGAATTAGTCAGACATAGAAGTTTACTATAAGTCCATAATGGAAAGAAATGTTAACAAGGGTGAATCCAGGCAAAGGGCCTATGAGTATTCATTATAATACTTTTCAATTTTTTCAAAAGGGAAAAAAATAATCTTTAAATCCCTCTGAAGCTACTAATGAAGGCTGGCAAAAATACTAACTATTTTAACTTCAGTTTCCTCACCTGTAAAAATGGATATCACAACTCCAGTCTTACTGCAGACCAAATACAATGAGATAAAAATGTGAAATCTGTTTTATCCTAAAAGAATGCTATAGAAATATCAGATGTCTTTCTTATCATTTGACCACAGAGTCCATAGAGATGAATGCAGGCATCACCTGTAACTTACACAATGACAACTGATGGCTTAAATAATGTATTAACAGCATTCCCCAAACCTAAATTTTATAAAAGAACAAATACTTCTGTTTTCTATTAATTTTCTTCCTCCTTTAAATGTGGTTCAGAAGCAGAGCTTCTGCTACCATCAATGATGTGGTAAGAGAGATGGGACTTATCCTGCCATATTAAACAACTAGAAAATGAGACAAAAGGAAACCACCATTTTCAGACCTTAGACACCAGGCTTTGGGAAGAGGGAACTCAGAAGAGGGGGCTCTGAGAGAACAGAAGCAAATGAGTGAAAAGCCCTTTGATTTCCCTAGAGTAATGGCTGCAGGCAGTTTTCAGGCCTGAGCCCAGAGAGGAGGACCCTAAACAGAGTTTAAGAGTGGGGGAAGGGGCTTTCAGTGATGGAGCACACGATGGGAAGTTCAGGGAGGCACACAGCCACAATTTGCCAGAGCAAAGTAACGGATAGGAGAAAGGAGCACACAGAGCTCAAGGGATCACTAGAGATTGGTGAGAACATTTAAGATCTACTCCCTCAGCAACTTTCAAGCATACAATACAGTATTGTTAACTATATTAACTATGCTGTACATTAGATCCCCAGAACTTATTCATCTTATCACTGGAAGTTTGTACCCTTTGACCAACATCTCCCAATTTCCCCCAGCCCCCAGCAACTACCATTCTACTCTCTTTCTATGAGTTTGGCTTTTTAAAAAGATTCCACATGCTAGTGAGATCATACAGTATTTGTCTTTTTCTTATTTCATTTAGAATAATGTCTTCACAAGATGGTCAATAAACATATATTGAAGACAATCTAGGCAGGAGTTATAATAATTCAGAATTCTCTCTTGGAGCAAACGGGTACATAATGGAAGGGAAAACTAAGCTGATTCACTAGATTTTTCAAGAGACATCAATGTAACTTCCTACCTAAGGCTCTAATAGCAATAAGCCAACGTGGCAATAACAGTCAGGGAACACTTAATGAGTCCAAAATCCTTCAGGGTTTACTATTTAGTTTGTACTAATTATTTAACTAGAACATGAATTTTTTTGTTTCTTAACAGGAACCAAAATTACTATAAAACAACCATAGGCCTTTAATTAGGATTTCTAATTCAAGTCTTAAGGATTTTGCTTCTTTAGCAAATTATCTCAACTTATAAGACCTGCTACTTACTACCTTACTGTTGAGTTTTTAAGAATGGAGAAAATTCCTAAACCAATTATCTTACTCTTTTAATAAGAAAAAGTTTCCTGAGAGAATTCTCCCTCTCACCACATCGTTAAAGCCTTCTCGTCTGGTTGCAGCATACATGGCTTCGGTAGACACATTAATGTCACATCTGTGACCTGAAAACAAAAAGAGATAAACATTACTTGAAAAGGAAGTAGAGTTGTGGCTGAAAGGCAGACCTAAATTTACATTTGTGACCAATACTAAAATTGTGGGAGATTGTCCTTAATGGTTCCTCTTATTTGCCTTGTGACTGACTGACCAGTCAGGAATCAAGGAGAGAGAAGAAAATAACCAAGAGGGAAACATCATTTGTTTCTCCCTCATTTGTTTGTTCATTCATGCATTCAAATGTTTACTGAGCATCTACTATGTGCTAAGCACTACATTAGATGAACTGAGAATACAAAGATAAGATACTGTCCCTTCAAGGTGTTCAGCTCAGAAAGGTGAACCGAACACACAGAGATATTAATGATGAATAGTGTAAGTATAATGCTAAAATGACAAAGGGTTCACTGATTTACTTCTCTAAATTATTAACATTATCTTGGGCAATAATTTTTTTTAAGCCACTAATAAGTAAACCTTTTCCAATGTTGAGACAACTACCTTAAAAACACAAAGCACAGCCATCTTACCATATTCTAGCCCGTCAAATCTTGCCATGTTCGATGCTACTTCTGACGTACACAATACTTGGTAGCAGACGACTGAATAACTGGTGTGGGGCAGGGACACTTCCATTACTTTGGCCCCCTCAGACTCAAAGAGGTTTGCAGCTTTGGACCAAAGAGATTGTACTTCATTTGATAAGTCTGGTACAAGATATTCCTTATTGGAAAAAAGTTAAAGAACAGAAATTAGAACATCTGTATAGATGATTTATAAAACTTTATACTCTAGGACCTTTGGCAATAGATTAGAAATTTGATTAAACTGCTAGTAGGTAGCCACAAAGATTGAACTAATTTAAGAGTGTTCATGGTATGACAAGCTCAGTACTAGATATGAGCTGGATTAACAATATTAAAGATTAGCGATTTGGTTGGAGAACTTATATTTGTTAAATGTTCATTATATATCAGGTACTCTGCTGGATGCTTTCCAAAGGTTTTATACTTTAATGCTTTTAACAATCCCATGATGTAGGTATTATCTTTCATTTTATTAATAAAAAATATAGAGACTAGAGAAGTTAAGTAACTTTACTAATATTATATAGCAGCTAAATATAGGATCTAGGATTCTAAACTAGGTCTGTTTCTATAACCTGTGCTCTCTCTAAATCCTTAAAAGAAGGCACAGCTGTTACTTTAATTGAAGATTTTAAAGAAAGTAAAATTTCTCTACAGCAGTGGTCTCAACTGGGGGCAATTTTATCTTCTTCCTTTCAACCAGGGGTCATTGGTAGTGTCTGTAACATTTTTGGTTGTGGGATTGTGGTATAGTGGGGGTGTTACCTCTAGGGGCAGAGGCAGTGATGCTGCTAAACATCTTACAATGCATAGGACAGTCTCCCACAACAAAAATTACCCAAAAAAGTATCGGTGCCCTGGCTGGGTGGTTCAGTTGCTTTTGAGTGTCATCCTGTACACCAAAAAGATTACTGGTTTGATTCCCGGAAAGGGCACATATCTAGGTTGCGGGTTAGATCCTGAGTCAGGAGGCAACCAATTGATGTTTCTCTCTCACATTGATGTTTCTTTCTCTCTCTCTCCCTTCCTTTCTCTCTAAAATCAATAAACATATCCTTGGGTGAGGATTAAAAAATAAAAATTATTGCTAAGCTCAAAATTAAAAAGAAAAATTAAAGGTCAGTAATTTAATATATTTACTTTCATGTACGAATACTCAATTGGTATTGTAATAAGTGCAGTAGTAATACTACTACTAATAGTAATGTTGGCAACGTTATTGATCCTTTACTATGCAAAGTATATCTTGGGCTCTGTCCTTTACATCAGGGATTAAGAAACTATTGCCCATCTGTGGGCCATATGACTTGCCAGCTATTTTGGAAAATAAAGGTTTATTAGAACACAACCATACTCTTGATTACACACAGTCTATTGCTGCTTTCACAATACAGTGGCAGAGCTAAGTAGTTATGATAAAGACTGCATGGCCCACAAAGCCTAAAACATTTACCTAATTGACACTTTACAGAAAAATTTTATAGCCCTTGCTTAACATGATCACCTAATTATTTTTATTGAGGTGTAATTGACATACAACATATTAATTTCAGGTGTACATGATTCAATATTTGTATGTATTAAGAAATGATCACCACAGTAAATCTAGTTAACATCTGTAACTATACAGTTTTTTTTCTTGTGATGAGAACTTTTAAGATCTACCCTCTTAAGCAACTTTCAAATATGCAATAGAGTATTATTAACTATAGTCACCATGCTCTACATTACATCCCCATGATGGTTATCTAATTCAAACCTCATCACTCTCTGAAATCAACACTGTTATTATCCCCATTTCACAAATAGGGAAATTGAGCTTAGACAGATTAAGGCACATGCCCAGGTCACATAGCTAATAAAAGCAGCAGAGCAAGGATTCAAACCCAAGCAGTCTGTTTCCCAAATCTGTGCTCTGTGTTTGACTTGACAGTATTTCTGTAAAGTAATGAAAGGGAAGAGTTACCTTTGGAATTCCTATACATAGTTTGCTCACATCTGTCAAACTGGGGAGCACAAATGGTTTAACAGGATCTTGTACTGTGGTAGAATCTTTGCAATCATGCCCCGCCAGTACACCTGTAAAGAAAAATACTTGGGAGTGACATTGTTTTACGGTGAAACTGTAATATTTTGAAACTATATGGAATTATATAACTACCCAACACAGTTGCTGCATCATCCACGCATCTGGTTAAGATTCCTGTCACATCCATTGAATTCACCAGGGGAATGAGACCGTGACGAGAAACCAAGCCATAGCTTGGTTTTAAACCAACAACCCCACAGTGGGCAGCTGGATTCCTGGTTGATCCTCCTGTATCTGATCCTAAAGCCCTGGAATTTAAATGGAATTCTCTTTAGAAGACTGACATATATGTAATTACATTTGAAATCTACCTTTTTAAATGCACATTTAAAAACTGTATTTCCCCCTGATTATATAAAAGTAAAGCATGCTCATCTCAGAGAATTCTTAAAATATAGAAAAGGGTAAGCGGTAACCATCCTGAGGCAAACAGTGTTAACATTTGGCAAACAGTGTTAACATTTGCCATATTAACTTTTTAAAAATGCATTTCTCTTTCATAGTTCAGGTCGTTCTATAATCATGTTTCCATCTCTTTTTTGCTTATCATGAGCCTTTTGTTATATCTTTAAAATTACTGAAAATGTAAAATATTCTATCATATCAGTTGGCAATTTCCAATATTTTAAAGTACATTTTATCAATATACATACAAATCTTATACCTCCCTTAAATGGCAATTTTACAGTATGCTTTTACCAACTGAACACACCCTTCCCAGAAAGTCAGATACAGCCCTTCTCTACCACATTTATAATCATGAATAGAAATGTATTTTAATTTATTTAAACATTATGTTGTTGCCAACTAGAATAATAATTGCATAATTAATTACTTCATAACAAATACCTTTAAACATAAATCTTGGCTCATAAGTCTGATTATTTTTTAAGTTAGCTTCTAAGAAGTAGAGTTAATGGGCCAAAGAATCTGCCTGTTATTATAAGTTCTTAATACATACGGTCAAATTACTCATCAGAAAGGTTATGTCAATTTATAGTTCCAACTGCAGTGAATCACATTGTGTTTAATGTTTCATTGTTTCACTGAGTGCTAGCAGTTCTTAAAATATGGTTAAACTAATAACCAAAAAGCTTTGTTAATGTGTATTTTAAAATAATTTTTCACATTTATTTGTATTTGTATTACCCAACTATGAAGTGTCTGTTCATTGTTTTGCCCAAAACTCGGAGTATATGCTTTTATTAAAAAACAAACAAAAAACCCCCACAAAAACTAACCTTGAGGACATTATGCTAGGTGAAATAAGTCAATCACAAAAACTGCATAATTTCATTTACATGAAATACCTAGAGTAGTAAAATTCATAGAGACAGAAAGTAGAAGAGTGGTTGCCAGAGGCTGGGGGACAGGCAAACGGAAAGCTGTTGTTTAATGGGTAGAGAGTTTCAGTTTTGCAAATGAAAAAGTTTTGAAGATTGGTTGCACAGCAATGTGAATGTATTTAACACTACTGAGCTTACACTTAAAAATGGTTAAGATGAGCCCGGCTGGCGTGGCTTAGTGGTTGAGCATCGACCTATGATCCAGGAGATCGAGGTTTGATTCCCGGTCAGGGCACATGCCCGGGGTTGTGGGCTCAATCCCCAGTGGGGGGCATGCAGGAGGCAGCTGAGCAATGATGCCCTCTCATCAGCAATGTTTCTCTCTCTCTCTCCCTCTCCCTTCCTCTCTCTGAAATCAATAAAAACATATTAAAAACAATGGTTAAGATGGTAAATTTTATGTTGTGTATATTTTACAATTAAAAATGGAAAACATTTTAAAAACTGTTTCAGAAAAAAAGTTTCTCTGATTAGAAAAGTGTGCATGCCTGCTGCAAAAGCTAAAATATTCTATTAATAAGTGTAATGTAAAAAATAAAATTTTTTATAATTACTACCCCCATAAAAATCTAGTTATCAGTTTTAATATACATTCATCTAGACACTTCCACGCAAATAACATATAGGGTGGGGCAAAATAGGTTTATAGTTGTTCATGTGGAAATACAATAATTAATAAATAATACAAGGATAAACTCTGCTTTGAGTACTCACAACTGTAAACCTACTTTTGCCCCTCCCTGTACACACATATATAATTACTACTTTTAATAAAAACTAAGGTCATACTATACATGCTATTTTGCAACTTGTTTTCTACTTAACAGTATACCTTGGATATCTTTCCATGTCACTAGTGGTCTAGCTCATTCCTTTTAGTGGTGCACAGTATTCTAAGAATCGTCTCATTTTTAAAATTATTATAGAAAGAATGAATCAAAGTGAGGGGGAGGATGACAAAGCAGAACATTTGATAGTTTGGGACCCATTCAATTTGGAGTTACTTTGGGTCTGTGCTTCTCTTGACTACACCCAGAGTAAAACTTTGGACTGAACAAGGCTCCTACCAGTCACATGGCCCATGTGTTCTACAGAAAATGCAAATTAGATTGCCTTTCTTACCCAGTCCATTTGAGCCACAAGATCAGACTGTTGCTTTCACAATTTCTAAAAGGATACATTTTCTTATTAGGATTCACTGACAGCTATGTAAAGTAAAACGTACATTTCCATACGAATTACATGTCAAAACGCCATCTTCTCAAAGCTCATTCGGAAAGATGAACACTAAGTGGGGTGATGAGGATAGGAAAGAGCACCTAATCTGGCAGTTCTAACTTATTAGAACTCTCATTAATATTAATGCAGTGCTATCAAATTTCACAGAGATAAAATGAAATGGTTTTGCTTGTTAACAATATTTCAGGGAAACTAAAAAAAAAAAATCTGTAGAGTCTAAATCTCCATAGCTGTAAAGAATATAAATAATTTATTGTTTGCAATGCTTCTGAAAGGGCTTAGTTTCAGTGGATAATTAAGGAGAGATAACTATAATAACAGCACTATCTATTTACTCTTCTTTAGGTGGTTAGGAAATGCTTTACAAATGGGAACTAAAACATAAAGCATGAATGATACTTTCCAAATACGAAGTATGACAGGTAAGCAAATCAACTCCCTACAAACTTGAAAAACTTTTACTTACTGATATACATTTTTAGTTGCTGATTGATAAAAACACTATATTAAATATTCTATTGATACATACTAGGAGCACTTTTTTTCTTTCTTTTTGTTTTGGGCAAAAGTCAGAATTAGCTGAAGGATAAACCATAGCTAACAATTTAGCTCAGCAGTATTCACCTAAAGCCATGGTATGTTAGTTAGTCCTTAAATATCTATACAATCAGTAAGCAGACACCCAAATAAAATATTTAAAAAATGAAATTCAATAAAGTCCATTTATGCTAACTGGCTTATTCTGCAAGATCCATAAAATCATGTTTTTAAGAGAATCAGGTACTATAGAGGAAGACTTTAAACGTTATCTTAAAGTTAATTTATACATTTAACTTTAAGATAACATTTAAAGTTATCTGAGTGTATTTATAAGACATAATTTTGATACACCACTGAACACAAATAGCTCACTAAGAAGAAATAAAAATACCAAAGTATGAACTTCTCTATTGTTGGATTTTGCCTATATTTTATGACTACTGGTATTAGGTTGGGTTTTAAAGTACAGATGGAAAAAACAACTTACGCAAAGCACGTGAACGCTGCTACGGCTGCTGCACTCCCTCCTGAGCTTCCTCCAGTTATAAGCCAATTTGAATCCTTGTGCTCACCATGGGGCTTCCACTTCCTCTTTTCTCTGTACTGTTCTGAATAACTCCAGGGGTTTTTAACTGGTCCAAATACACTGTCTGTGCTCCCAGATCTGAGATGAAGAAAGGTGCTTAAAATTTTCATTTTATGTGAAAATTTCATCTTCTGATTATTTGCTTCTGACACTGTATATAATCCACTGTAAACTGAATTGGAAAAGGTAGGAAACCTGCTTAGATGTAGCTTTCTTTAATTAGATGGTTGAGGAGGTGAAGGATGGAAAGAGCATTTGTGATAGAAAGTAGAGAAAACTAGTCTGCTAAGAAACAAAGATTTTTATTCCAATTGATCATCTAATTCAGTTTAAGATGATTTCTCTTGTAAACTAAGGTCTTCCAGTTGAAGAGTGTCACAAACATTCAAACAGTTAATAAGAAGTCTTTTGAAGGAATCCCTCTATTAATCAGAAGTTTTAAGAAAAGCATTATAAGTGGAATGCTAATAACTTACTTTTTAAATTTTGAAATAATTTCAGTCTTACAGAAAAATTACAAAAATAAAAAAGCATGAAAAGTACTTTATACCTTTTAGCCAGATTCACCTACTGTTAACATCTTGCCTCATTTATCATTTGAGTGTTCTGTGTGTATGTATGTACATACACACTTTTTTTTTTCTGAACCATTTAAGGGTAAATTATATTGCCATGGCCCTTTACTCTTAAATACTTTAGTATGTATTCAGTATATATTTCCCAAGACTAAGGGCATTTTTTATGTGTTTATTTGCCAACTGTAAATATTCTTTAATGAAATGTCTGCTTATATCTTTTACCTATTAAAAGAAAAACTGAGTTGTTTTCTCGTTATCATGTTGGGAAAGGTTCTATACATAGGCTGTCTCCAAAATATGTATACACACACTTTGACTAATTATAAAGGCAGCGTTTATTAAAATACATTTCATCTTCAAAACTGAGCTATCATATATTAAAGTGTGTATATATTTTGGGGGGACACCCTATATACTGGATGTCAGTTCTTTCTCAGATACATGTGTTGCAAATATTTTCTCTCAGTCTGCAGTTTTTGTTTGTTCATTTTTAAAACAGCCATTTCAAAGTCCATAAGTTACTAATTTTAATGAAGTCCAATCTATCAATTTTTTTATTTTACAAATTGTTCTTTGTGTCCTAAGAAATCTTTGCCTAACTCAAGGTCACAAAGATTTTCTCCTACATTTTTTTCTATAAGTTTTAGGTTTTATGTACTTTAGCCTCTTTTAATCTGGAACATTTTCAAAGCCTTCTATAGTTTTTTGATATTGACATTCAGTAGAATATTTCTCAGTTCAGATGTCTTTTGTTTCCTTGTTATTACTTTAGTTTATACATTCTCAGCTGGAAAATTGCATAGCTGATGGTGTGTTTCTTTCAGGGAATCACATCTGGAGGTACACGATGTTCACTTCATCCTCATTGATGATATTCATTTTGATCAGCGCTTCAAGGCAATGTCCTTATAACCTATGTTCAAGTTTACTCCATGGATTTACTAAGTACCAAGACAATGAAAAGATAAGCCAAAGATTTGGAGGAAATATTTGCAAGTCACCTGTATGATAATGGACTGGAATCCAGAATATATATAAGAACTCTTACAACTTAATAAGACAAACAACCCAATTTAAAAAAACAGGGTGGAGGGCAAAAGATTTGAATAGAGTTTTCATCAAAGAAGATATACGGGCAGCAAAACACATAATGTTTAACATTATCAGTTGTCAGGGAAATGCAAACTAAAACCAAAATGAGATACAACCATATACCTATTAGAGAGCAGAACATAATCTCACAGAGGGAACTGAGAACCTGGCATGACAGTCCTCACAGAATTACCTGACTACTTTTAGGAAACTACATAATGAAATTAAAGACAGATGGAAGAATACAAGAGAAGAGCATTTCAATTTTACTTACCCCATAGCAAACTCATCTAAGTTTGTTTTTCCCATTAGTAGAGCTCCCTGATCCAACAGCTTCTGAACTACTGTGGCATTATAAGGTGGTACATAACCTGAAAAAAATTCAGTTATTTTTATTATAGGAAAGAAAACAGTGAACACATATATCATATTGAAGAAACAATATTTTAAACTGCAATTAAGCAATTCATATTGACATGTGTTAATTATTCTTAATTTGACTAGTAGATTGTACTTTCTTTCAAAAGTTAGCTAGTTTTTTCTACTGCTAACTCCTGTGTTTTCCAAAGACAGTCTATATTCACTATTTTTATAATCTAAAAACTTTGACTGTAACAGCACTGCATAATATTGAATGACAGAGGTGTAACCAATTTATTTGATTTTAATCACAAAATCATATTTTTGTTTTCTGAACTTGAATTTTTCTTCTAGGATGATGCTATATCACAGTAACTTTTATCCATTTCCAGTCAGAAATAGATTTTTATTGTTAATTAAAATTTTTTCTATCTAATGTATATTCCAAAACAAGGAACAACAGTCTACATATCATAGGAACCTAGGCATGTACCTCAGAATATTACTTTTAGTATGTAGTACTCTGAATAACCTTTTTCCATTTCATTTTCTTCCTAGGATCCAAACACTTTGATAAACATGATTGCTTTTTGACTTACTAAACTGTAAAGAATAAAGCTAAGCACCACAATACTCATATAAGGTATAGTGATGTAAGGTAGAAAAGTCAGAAAATAAAAAATAACAGGACAATAGAGGATGATGAATCCTCAAGATTCAAGAGGGGTAATGACAGCCACTTCATACTATTACCATGTTATCAATGAGTGGGAGTTAGAGGTTGCTTAGTGTATTTGCAGTGATCAGTTGAGTTTTCCTAAACAGGATTGCTAAAATTTCCTAAATAAGATTCATCCACTAAGCTAGCCTACTTCTAAAGAATAATTTTGCATTCTGAAAGAGCAAATAGTGAAAAGGTAAAATTCCATCCTAAGTATCTCCTTTGTAGATATAATTAGTCTGAGAGTATCTTGGTGCTTTAGTATCTTATCTCTAATTTAAACTGAAAAATTCTTATTTTTAATAAAACTATTAATGTTGTGATCAGTTAGACTTAACCTTTCAGCATGTTTGATGCACACGTTGTCTCAATGCCAGATGTGCTAAAGTTGTCTTTTACTGCAACAGGAATTCCATCTAAATCCCCAAGTGGGTGACCTGTGATAAAAAGCCAGAAGAATAGATGTATCTAATTCAAGATATAACGGCATATTAATACTAGTTGTTTACCTAGAACTATTAGTTCTAGGTGAAGATACTTCTTCAGAAATAAAATTCATATTAGAAATTATTGCAGTTGGACAGTATAAAGCATCATATATCCAATTGCTTCATTTTTATTATACCTCATGGCAAGTTCTTTAAATTCCTTTAAATAAAGGAATGCTTTATGTTAAAAGATTCACTTGCCACATGGAGACTGCTACATCCAATTAAACTCTTTCTCTAAGGACATAATAATTAACTATAATTCAAAGTAACTTACCTTTCTTATATCTTTCCTCTGATTCTTCAGCTTGCTTTAAGGCCACCTCTTCTGATACAGTAATGTAAGCATTTAGAAACTTGGTCTTCTCGATAAGGGAGAGACATTTTTGACAGAGCTCAGTTGGAGTAATTTGGCCTTGTTTCAGTGCCGCAGAAACCTATAATATATAAGTACAAAAACCCTTTGCTGAGTCTGCAAAAGTTTCAAATATTATACTGAGGCAGGCAGATAGAGTGGAATCTCTTGGATGCAAAACCCAGAGAACCTATCAACTCTACACTTAGTGTAGTGAATCAGGGTAATACCTTGATCAGCTTGAAGATGGTTTGGAGGATACCACTTTCACAGGCCTAGCTAAGTAACTGTTTCTAAGCCAAGCTTGAAGAGACAAGAGCAATGGTTTAGGTGAATCATCGTGCCCAGTAGAAGTAGAGATCCAGCATGGGTGAAGCATGGGTTAGGGCAAATTGTGTACAGAGAGTAGCTTAGCAGCAACACAGGCAGTCCATAGAGAAAGAAAAGAGAAGTGAACTTGACAAGGCAATACAGGACTTCATGGCTCTAAATAAATGATCTTTATTAGATAGACCTTTAGATTTACTGCAGAATTCAAGCAAAAGCCATTATGCACTGAGAGAAATGCTTAGAAAATATGGATTCAAAAGCAAACAAGCTTTTCTGAAATCCTGTCTTTGCTACATTAGGAAGACTGGTAAAGAAAGCAATAAAATAAACTGTACCACAAGTGATCAGAACCTGTATGTTGATAGCAAGTGCAGCCTGAGGTGAAGAGATAATTATTTAACACTTCCTACAGAAGTAATAACTACATACTTACCAGGTAAAGTAAATCAATAAGAAGTCAAAGATAACACCAGTTTGGGAGATAATACAAAAAGGATTGGATTAGATGGGAGCTCAGAGATAAGGGGGCTGGGGAAGAACATTTATTGAGTATTTACCAAGAGTCAGGCATTGTTGTTGGCTTTACATGCATTACTTCATTTAACCCTTAAAACAACCACAGAAGTTAAATATTATTAACACCATTTTAGAGATGAAGAAACTGAAGCTCAGGAAGGTTAAGTGATTTGTCCAAAGTCACACAAATAGTAAAGGGTAGAAGCAGTTTTTTTAACATATGCTCCTTCATCATTTCTTTCTGTACTAGTGGGAGCTTAGTTTGTCCTCTAAGTTGACTGTATTTTCACGTGTCCTAAATACATCAAGCAAAAAAAGTCTGCATTTGGAGGAAAATTTGCAAATAATCTGCTCTCAGCTGCTGAATAAATCATCAAAGCAGTCGTATTCTTAGGGCTGAGGGTTTTAAATGAGAAAGCTGTGGCAATAGGTCACTGGGAGGACCTAATGCTGATGGACAAGAGGAGGAAAGAACTGCCATGGGGAGTCTGGGGGAGTGATTCAGGGATGGAGAGAGGCAGCTGGGCTTGGCTTAAAGGAAGTAACCTAGTAACAAGAAGAGATATTTCTGTTCAATGTTTTGTATGAAACGTAAACTCTTTACAAGAAAGGAGCTAGAGAGAAATAAAAAGATAGCACTGTGTTCTAATATTATAAATATGGAGTGAAAAGAAAGAAGAAAGTATTAGGCTGGGTACAAAAGTCAGAACTAGTAAACACCAAAAGGAGAGAAACAGAGAGCTTCATAGGCAGGCCTACCCCATGGCAAAGTTGTAACGGGAAAATTATGTCTGCCACTTTCTCTCCTTTGCCTCAAGTCCTCTAATGCCCACTACCCGTAAACTGCTTTCTGACGTGTCAACTGGTATGAGAATAAGAAGGAGCTACAGTTGTAGGAAATGAGATTGCCTAGGAGCACTCATTTTAAATGGTGTGTTGATCTTCGTTAGGACCATTTTTAGGAAATCCAGATTTGAGAAAGTCAGTAAGGGAATTGGAGAAGAGAAATGAAAACAAAGATGCTAATGAGCTAGACTGGATTGAGCATAAGAAATATGAGATATAAATAGTATGGCTCTCATGGGAAAAAATTAAAAGTGTCATATCTTGAATACAGGATGAAATCAAATATAAAACTTTTTGTTAAAAAACAAATTCTCTCTCCTTGGCACTTCTTTCCTCTATTGGAAACTAGGCTTTTCCTTGAGGCTATTGCTTCTCCTGCAGCTTTCTCAAGGGATTACTGTTTTAGGTCCTACCTACCATGTACCGGAGTCCAAAGGAGAACGGAATGTGTGAGCAGGCATCCTCCTAGGTCCTTAATGCCTTTCTCTTCCATCTTCTTTCAAAACCTGAGCTCATCTGAAGCACAGGCCTTGGAGGTGATTATACCACCCTCACTGGTGTAGTAAGCACTGCACCAAGTCTCTCTACTACTCCTTTTCACTCATTGAAGATTTTAGTAGCTAGCTCACTGTAATCTTCTTTAATATGGCTCCCGTTGCTATTTTTGTCAAATTCGAACTTCAAGTCATGTACCCTGACACCCGGCCTCTCAGTTCTTGACCTCACTCTACACACTTTTCCTTCACCTCACCCCAGTGACCAACTCACATGGTCATAGCCCAGACTACATCATTACCAATATCTTATAACCTCCCAAACCTTAATTCTAGTTATTCCACATCTCCAGGCCCTTAAGCCCATTTACTCTACTACCCACATAGTTTGCAAGAAAATGGGGACCTCAGTTCTAAAACCGCAAGGAAACAGACTTTGCCAACAACCAATGAGGACCCTGCGATGTAAAATTAAACTACAGATAGCCCTGGCTGACACACTGATTTCAGCCTTGTGAGACTCCTAAGCAGAGACCCCAGCAGTTCCCTTCCTGGACTCCTACTGGATATGTAATTAAACTTTAGAATTAATATTAGCCTGGTGTCTGGCTCCTAGAAACAATGGGGGTCATGCCACAAAAAAGGAAGGTAAAAGTAAGACTCCTCCCCTTCCTGAATGTACCTGGGTAAAATTTACAAATAGGAGTTTTATCTCCTACTTGGCACTTTAGCTCTTTTTAGTGCTTCCTCCCAGGGCTTCTCTGTTGCCCTAAGCCTACACTTAGGTCCTCCAAATTGCCCTAAAACTCCATAGTTTTTAGCCCTCCCCTTAATTTCCTCCCCAGCAAATTTTCCCTTTCTTCAATTGATTATCTCAACTAGGGTGTGATGGAGAGAAGTTTGATTGAACTAATGAACAGATCATTCAGTCTTTCCAGGCATCTTTACACATTTAAAATAGAATGTGTACTAAATTAATCTCTAATTGGTAGAATAGGGGGCAATGATACAATGATGTGGAGAAAATACAGAGTGGACAAAAGATATATTTGGGGTTGGGAAAATAACCACCAAATGTTTTGCACACAGTATCAATAAGTAATTGTTAAAGGAGTGATTGAATGAAAGCAATCATGCCAGGGCAACCTCCGGTATATCCCTGGGTCAGTTCCCCTAAATGTTTTTTTTACCCCCTTGACGTAAAAGCTGTTTCTCATAATGCCTCACTCAACAACCTGATGAAGGGATAGCACATAAAAGGGGGAGCTGAACCGGAAAAGAACAGAAAAAGACCATATTTGTTCAGTTGTATTTCATTTTAAAACAAGTTTTCTTTAGTTATTTTAAAGAACAAATAGGATTCTTCACTGACAGTAAAGGCCAGATGCAATTAAAATGGTAAAACAATAATTATTGGGGGGGGGGGGGACTTTTAAAGCCTGTGGACTTTAACAGTTCTCATAATTTACAGTTTTCTAAAAGGCTGCCAGGTGGGAAGAAAAGACTTTCCAGGTGAAGATAGAAGGCAGGGTAAGTCCTCAACCACTACTTAGAAGCAGAGTCACCTGGAGCCTTGGTTAAACCATATACTCTGAGCCTTACCACACACACACAGCCCTGCCTCAGTGGGACACGACTTAGCTTTAACAAGGGCTGGAGGCGATCCTGATAGCAGTGCGCCTGCATTCAGATATAAAGGTTGAGAGATGGAGGCCAGGAAACACAGACCTGAATTAAAACCCTAAGAGCAGGGATAAAGCGAGAGGACAGATTCCAGACATAATTGCAAGACAGAATTAACAGGGGTCAGCGATTTATCGGATGCTAAAGATGAAGAAGAATCTAAGGGCAACTAGGATAACAGTTGTCCCATTAATAAGACTATTAAGAATTCAGAAATCAGGTTTCGGTGTGTTTTTTTTTTTTTTTTTTTTTAAGATGGAGGTTTGAGAGGAAAGAGGTGGTCCTGCTACAATGATGAAGCCAACTCTGGTTAAATGGTGCCTGAGATGCTTACGGGACATTTGTTAGACACGTCCAGAAGACATTCGCCAATACAGCCTAGAGTTAAAACGTGACGCCCAGGAAACGGAGACAACGGTAAAGGAATCGGGCATCTCAGTGGCGGGTAGAGCGCCGAGAATGAATAGATCGAGGGGGCGGGAGGAGGGGCAAATCAGTCGTTCGACTTTTGCCAGGGACAGAGTTGCTGGGCTCCTGAGAACTGCATCAAATGAGTGTTGGGGACAGAAGAGAGACTGAAGGGGACCTGTAAGACCCCCCGCCTCTGGCACAGCCGCTCTATAAGCATCGGCAAACGTGTAACTGAGAAGCCGGTGGACACTTCCACCCCATAGCTCCGCGGTACAGAAGTCTCCCCTGCTAAGGTCCTAACTCTAGAACCGGTATGGAGAGTACAGCCGGAGGACCCACAGGGCCGAGTCCCCAACCCAGTTCCAGGGAAGGAGGCGGCGAGGCTGACAGAGGTGCGCGGTCGGGCCTTGGACTCCGAGTCCACGGGCTCCGCGAATCTGTCCGACCTCCCTGGGCCCTCAGCAGCCATTTCCACTCACTTCTCGGAGGGTCCGACCCAGCATGGTCCTCGCGCCCAGCCTGCCACCCCAGGGGCCAGGCGACAAGAAGGAAAAAGAAAGGTCAACCACTGCTGCCGGTTTTACGTGGGTGCAGCCATCTTTGCTCGTCACGGCACCCTTCAGCACCGAGTACTTCCATTGGTCGGGGTGCAGCCGGAGGAAACGATCTTGGCACACGATTGGTTGGCGCCGCAAGGCCTGTCCCGCGGCGACGGCGAGCGGGCGGCGAGGAGACTCCGGGCTAGGGTCGCGGCGGGAGGCCCTGAGCGTCTGATTTCCTGCGGCGTCCGGAACGCGAGCGGAGTCAGTTGGTCCGGCCCCGTGCTCCCGGGACCGGGCGGAGTTCTAGGGTTTTGATTTTGGTTCTGTTTTTAAGGGGAGGGGGTGTGAGTGGGGAGGATAATGGACAGAATACTGACTGGAACGTTAATTGGAGCATTTTAGATGCGAGGAGCCATCTAATTCCATAGTCGTGTTCCTTCGTTGTCTCCATTAGGCCAACTTCATTTTTAAATTCTGAGTTTTGAAATCAGCCGTTGTGCTTGGCGAACTCAGACCGAATTCAGGGGTGACAGTTGAATCCAATCCAAGTGCATTTTAATTAGACGCGCAACTCAGCCGCATGTTGACGATGGAATTCCTGAAGACGTGTGTGCTTAGGAGAAAGGCATGTGCTACGGTTTGCTTCTGGAGAAGCCAAGTTATACAAAAGCCGTCGGTTAGAAAGATTAGTACTACCTCTCCAAGGAGCACTGTCATGCCCGCTTGGGTGATAGATAAATATGGGAAGAATGAAGTGCTTCGATTTACTCAGGACATGATGATGCCTATCATACACTATCCAAATGAAGTCATTATCAAAGTTCACGCGGCAAGCGTAAATCCTATAGATGTTAACATGAGAAGTAAGTTCAAAAGACATTCCTCCTTGTTATACATTTTTTCTTCTTCAGAGAATTTCATCAGGGATCAGTAGCTTTAAAAAATCAATTGTTACTTGACTACACTTCTTTGGTTAACACAAAGGTTTTTGACAGTATGTCGGCAGATATTTCCAAAATTGTTGAAATTGCAATGCCCAGGGTATACTTTAATAAGTTTGAATTGCTTCCATGCTTCCTTAAAGTGTAAATTGGGACTTGAGAGTTGCGTCCACAGCAAACTTTCTGGTATACTCTCCCGGGAATTTTGTGATGTTCTGAGGTTTATCACCGATTTTAGTTTTCATGTCAGTTCAGAATTTGAATTTTTATAATAATCCTTTGGTCTCTCGCTGTTCACAGCTTTATTGGTCCAGTGGACAAAGTGGAACAGAATGCCAGGATATCGACACAGTACTTTCCCCCTTTCTCCTGTTGCATTTGCCTCAGCAGTTCAGATACACTTTTCTGTTATCCAAAGTGGGAATAGTGTTACTGCGTCTTAATTTCTTCTAGGCTATATTGACAAATACTGGAGAGTACTAGGATTCCTTAAATATGTACTATGTAATGATTATAAGGCTGAAAAATTTATTACTCTTTGTGAATTACTTAACTTTGGAAAGTAAAGACAAAAATATTTCTTATGGGAACTCATTCATGTTTCTAAAGAAGTAAAGAAAACATCTGGGGTGATTGGTCAGTTAACCTCAGTGCTCTAAGTAGGCTTCCGAATGAGGTTTAACTTAATCATGCGGCTGTGTTTTGAAGGCCTGTGTGTACACCTACAGTTCTACTCATCAGATTGCCTCAATAATAATTGTACAGGGTGGGGCAAAAGTAGGTTTAAGTTGTTCATATGAAAAATACAGTAACTAATAAATAATACAAGAATAAACTGCATTTTGTGTACTCACAACTATAAACCTACTTTTGTCCCACCCTGTATGTGAACTGTGTGTAATGAACTAAATTTCTTTGTTTATATACATATCTAATTACAAAAACAAAATTAAGATTAATGATAGAATGAGTAATTTTGTGGAATTTATAGAGAAATATGAGAAGTTGAGACTTTGACTTCTATTAATTTCTTCCTCTTTGTTTCTAGGAGTTGTGTGATAGATTAGAATAGCAACTCTCAAATTTTTTGGTTCTAAGACATCTTTACATGCTTAATAATTCTTTGGCTTTTGTTTATATGGATTATAGCTATGAATATATCTACCTTGTTAGAAATTAGAATAAAAATTTTAGCACGCTTATTAATTCATTTAAAAATACAGTAAACTCCTTTTGCGTTAACATTACAAAATTAAATCAGGTTAAAATATAAAATGACAAAAATAAGGACTCAAAAACAACTGCATATGTGAAACACTGAAAACAGGTGGTAGTAGTAGTTGATAGAGCATAGAATCTACCTTCAAAGTGCTTACAGTGAAAAATAACTGCATTTTCCAAAATAAGCCAAAAAAAAAGAGTGCTAAGAGTCGCATTGTTTTACACTTGTACATATCTCTTTGCTTTCTGGTTTAATAAAATAGATGGGTCTTCATATATATATTTCTGTATTTAGTCTGTCACAATATGTCATGTG